TCACAATTCAAAGAATAATTTCTTCACCACACAACACAGTCCAGTATCAGAGCACACACGCAAAACTATTCACCACGAACGAAACCTTTTCCAACAAACGAGTTCCGATTTCCAAAGATTTTTTTCTTACTCACATTTGTTCATCAACTACAGTCTTCAACAACTAATTTCTACTGAAGTTCCCAACATCACATTTTCCAAAAATCATTTTAAATTTCGAATAATCAAAATTTCCATCCCATATTACCAGCTTCTAAAGTTCCTTTTTAATTCCTTGGATTCAGTCAAAATTCAGTCAAACGGTCAGAATTCCCACTGATATGTGTTGATTCAACAAGAGGGAATATATTCCAACTCTTGCTGCCTCAATTCTTACCCTTTTTTGGGACCGTCTTCCACGAATTCTTAGGTTTCTGAGTGCTTGCAACTGTAATCTTGGTGGCTGAGCTACTGCTGCTGCTCACCACTTGATCAGCTGATGTTGCTTTCTTGGCCGATGCGAAGGCCGCCTCGAAACCCGGTGGCGGTCCAAAGCCAGGCGGAGGCGCAAGACCCGGTGGTGCTAAACGAACTCCTGACGCGCTTACGGCCGGAGCACTTCCACTACTACCACCACCACCGCCACTAGATGTGCCGCCTTTCCCGATATCAAGACCTGGCGGTAGCAGCACAAAACTTGTTGGTGTGGCTGAAGGCCGTGACAATGCACTACTCTGTTGAGCGATCTGAAAACAACTTCTTTTTTTTTCTGAGAAGACTTTCAGCAGCCATTTTAAGTATAGCACAATGATGAGAGTCTCTCAAAGGACCAATTCAAACTCTTTACAACCCTTGAAACAACAGTTTCAATCAAATGGTGGCACTTAACCACAAGACAAGACAAGACAACACCACTCTAAATCTATCCGACAAGTCGGTTTGGATAAACCTTTGACGAAGCGTTTGCATTCACCAACGAAATTCCATTTGATTTTGTTTCTGCTCCCGTTAACAACTCTCCCTTCATACTCCTTCTGGAGCCTGTTGTACTTTTAGCCGATGTAGAACTCAGCTCAGGTGCACCTTTTGTCCAAGCCGAAGACTCGACCGCAGAAGCGTCGGTAGCGCTCTTGCCCGCAACCTCAAATATGACGAATTTGTGACGTCTGATCATCAATTGTGATGGCTTGACTATCTCTTTCTCTCTGTCTCAGATAGCTTTTCGAATGAATCACAAACAAAGTGATAAGATTCTTGATACGCATGAATATTAGGAAAGGACGGTCGCTCGATTGGTCGTTAAATACCAAGCATGACGATGAGATTTAGTGCAAAACAACGCGTAAATGCATTCATTCATATGTTCAACAGCCCACAACACGTTACCATTTCAAATGCTGATTACGGGNACAACGCGTAAATGCATTCATTCATATGTTCAACAGCCCACAACACGTTACCATTTCAAATGCTGATTACCACAACACGTTACCATTTCAAATGCTGATTACCAGTGAAGAATTTTTATAAAATTGCACGTTCACATAAAACAAATGCATAAAAATCAGTCCGCCAATAAACCAATCAGAAAAAATCAAATGAATGAATAATTTTCTACCTTGGCCAATTTATCACTTCCAGCATCATTTCCGCCTGACAACGATGGAAAATCCTCGTCCACTTCGTCTATTATCTTGTCCTGCTCAACCGAGCTCTTCTTCTTCCTCGATGCGTTCTTTCTCAGTTCATTGACCACTTTCGAGGATTGTCTCCCTTTCTCTTCACTACTAACAATTTTAGTGCCGTTCCCTCCACCCACTACACTGGCACCCATTAATGAAGAGAACGCATTTGAAAGCATCTAAACAAAACGATTGCAAAAATTTCACTGAAACAATATCTTTCCCCATCGAAACCACCCTAAACTGATCCAAAATTTGCCAACAACATTCCAATCCTGTACAAATTTGCGAATGGTAAGCAAAAACGACTCTGCAGAATGTATTTGTCGCGAAGATCGCGATATAACGCTGCTTTAAACATCAAGTGATTGAATTGAATGTGTGTGATACAGTG